GAGTTTTCTACACTATTCGGTTTCCATCACATATCGACTACCGCGTATCATCCCTGTTCCAACGGTCTGGTTGAGCGTTTCCATCGCTACCTCAAAGCTGCATTGACTGCCCAAATGAACCCATCTTCATGGTCCTCTTCTTTACCCCTCATTTTGCTTGCTATTTGCTCCACTATTAAGGAGGATCTCCACTGTTCACCAGCCGAACTGGTGTACGGTACAACTCTACGTCTACCCGGTGAACTAGTTTCCCCTTCTGGCGCACAGCCCGAATCACCCGATACATTCGTCTCCCGTCTGAAACAACACATGTCCGAACTTCGAGCGACACCGACCAGACGATCAACGCGAACAGAACACATCTCAGCCGATCTCTCTTCCACATCTTTCGTGTTTGTCCGACATGACGCAACGAGGAAACGCCTCCAATCCTGTAAAGATGGCCCCTTTAAGGTTGTCGAACGTCACTCCAAATACTTTGTTTATCCAGCATTCCTGTTATCCCAACAACACGCACATCAAAATGAATAGTTGCGAGTGTGTATCAGACTGGTTACGGAATAGTTGCGCCATCAGTGCACTGACAACTCCGTAACGGACGTCATGTTTGATGTCATTGGGCTTAGAGTTGCAACTCTGTGGGCAGTGGAATTTTTCGGATTGGTCCAGGGAATCCGCAGATGTAGAACAAAGCCAGTTTAAAATTGCAAGTATTGGTTGGTCCGGATGGTCATTTTTTGGGGCGTTAAGCTCGGATTAGATGCATTGGACAATATCTAAACAGGGCACCTGAATCAGGTGTAGCCGAAGGTAGAAGCATGTAAAGCGGAAAAATGGTATGAAATCAGTAAGGTCTGATGAGTTTTTGCAGGCATTAGATAAGGATAGGTCCGAAAGTAGAGGGAAAGTCAACGTTTGCCGAAAGTTCAGTGGTGACAGCAAGTGATTAAACGAGACGGTTAGATGGAAATGTAGTAGCCTAGCGATCATAGACTTTTCAGGCTTGCCAATATAAGCTATTATAGTACCATTGACAGGGAAAATCCCTATAATTACAAAATGATATTATGTGTCAAGAAGGACCAAACACATGAACTCAGGGGGACCAGAACTCCCAGGATGCTTAACTAGATTTTCTGGAGGTTACTCCGCGAGTTGGATAATGCCATACTGCAGGAGGGAAAGTGAATGCAGGAGTGATGAACACCAGTCCCTGAAGCACTGCTATCAGCCTAAGTCAACGAGTGGTGCATAGCGAAAACCCCTTTGGGCGCCGGTCTTGTTTGCTGGTATTGGAGGGCTTGTGAATCATATTGCGTATATAATGTTTTTGTTGTGTTGATACACTTCTGGAGCTGTAGGTATGTGTGTTTTGTTTGTTTGATGAGGTGGTCCCTGGTGCGGTGCCACCTCAATGATGACGCAAACAGCTACAGTTGTGCATGTCTGTGTAAGCCGTGGGCCTCGCATGGTATCTTCGAGCTAACATACAGCTTTTAAATTTCTTGATGGACGAAAGATACGTTTTGGCCATCTGCTGTTTTGTGGTGTTGCCACACGGGTGACACAAGGGGACAACTCCACAACCGGCGAAACTGAGCACAACGGTGTCCTTTTATGGATTTCCAAAAATACAGACCTGACTAAAGACCACTGGGCGATGCACTAATGCTGCTGGAGGGGTGGCAGGTGTATGAACGCACCAAGGTACAATGTAACAGGACTACCCTCCCCACGAGGTGTACCATACCACCACACGAAATTTTGATCCCTCGTGCATACTATCAAAGGTATTGTGGTAGTGAGAGGAACGCTTGCAACGGTAAACTTTCCACTCCAGTGGGGCAGTCGAGATGAAATCAGCATAAAGAACTTTTCAACTCAAAGTGACATCATGACAGTGGTAAACGGTGGACGCAAGGCTGGAAAATGCGGAAGAAGACTGTACTGAGTGATTTTATACACTGCCAAGCGTGGTAGTGTGGGTTGCAAGATATGCTGGGATGCACATAATACATACGCTTGTGACAGGGTGGGCACCAAAATTTAAGAATGCCAAATTTATACATATATAAAAGCGGCAGGTTGGGAAAGGGCTAGGAAAAATTTGAAATGGTTTGGTTAAATGGATGGCGGAGGCAGGTCAGTGAGATCGATTTCAGATTGATTAGAGGCCATTCCCCCGAAGTGCCTTTTGTCTCTGGAAAAGTGTCATTCAACAGAGAACTTGCTTGATGTGATGAAAATTTTCGAAGGAGGCCTCTATAATTTAAGTAAGGTATGAATAAGATAAATTCAGAAGTGCCGAAATTTTGTTGGCAAAACATCTGGCCGAGATGACCGTGCTGCTTGCGGCAGACCGCATAGGGGTCGAAAAAATGACACTCGCCCTTCTCCGTGCCCAAACCAACATTACGTATTCGAATTTCGGATTTTTAATCGTCAGAGATATAGATGCATTGGTTGCCACACTGTCTCCTAGCATTTACATTCTACATAGTTTTCTGACTATAAACCGCAAAGATTATACGATACCCACGAGTCAATATTTTAGGCTTGCATAGTAGCATGCTGCAAGCCGTCCTGGAAACTCTAGGAGGGTAAAAATGTTTTGCGTTTTTGTTTTTGCCAACAAAGAAACCCTAAAATACCTCCATTTTAAGCAAAAGATGATAAATACTATTTGCAACTCGGAAGGTAATATATAACGTTCTGCATCTGGCAAAAGTGCAGTAATCCGAGCACATATGGTAAATGGATGAACATTGGCTCCAGTGTGGTAGCATTTCGGTTGACAGTATTTGCACTTTATCAAAAGTGCGAGCAGTCGTGCAATGAATAAATAGAGTCATTCACCCAGTTTTAAATAATTTTATGCATGAACCAAGGAAAATTAATTTGGGGAATCTGGAGGTCCTGATAGGTCTTGGAATTCTTCCATGGAGAATCGCATGGAGGTTCATTCCATGTACTTTTGGGCAGCTTTCGGAAGTGGTTGGAAAGTGAATCTATCGCTAATATTAACTATTTAATTTGAGAGCAAAATCTATTGCAACAAATGCGCTTTGTGTATCTGCAAATCATTTCAACAAACTTAAACCACAACCACTTACAGTAACCTGCAAGCATGTTGTGGATTTAGCAGGAAATTATCCATTAAGCGACGATATGTACCACGCATTTTGATTTACAAAGACGCAAAATAAATTCAGTGTTCTGTTTGCCATATTATCGATTTGCATGGCTTCTTTAGAGAATACACAAAAACGTACCGGCAGATCCCAACTCTTTGCGCGTGACGAACCTGCGTATGCCACGGCGGAAATGTCAACATCACTACAGGACTAGCCACGTACCACGCTGATCCTCATCAGGCAAACGAAATTCTTTCCGAAACTGCTGTGTTCATGCAGGAGTAATTTTCGGCTGTGACGTCGTAGGATGTTACTTTCGTATTCGCAACTCAGACATTACTCGTACAATGCATACATACATGAGTTGACTTATCACCTTGAGCGACTCATCCTGAAATTAGGTAAGTATATATTATTAATTTTACCAGATGGATATATTGAAGATCGGTGACTACTTTTCAAATGTGGTCTGCCGAATAACTGCGAATTTGCCACTTTTTGGACACTTGGTGCTATGACCCTAGAGGCTTTTCAGAACTAACTAGTTGAGGTAAATCTGCGGTAACTACATTATATCTCTGGCACAAATAGTCAACTACTCCAAGACGGCGTAACAGAGAGTCGGTAAATGCAATTGTCCCTGCCACTGTTTATCCAACTCGTTTGTGTTGATTTGTTCTCACTTTCCAGGAACAAGACCTTTTCAAGCAGCAAGAAATAATACTCATTTATGGCTATCTTGCCGCCTGCGCATCCCCCTACTTTGATTGTCTGAGTATAACCCACCGGAACAGAAGACACTAAACACAGGCTTGTTCTCAACCAACTATCATTGCATTTCGATGGCCTGCAAAAACAATTTGAGAGGATGGCGAATAAGCATCTTCTGCTGAAATTTTAAAAAACCACAAAAGTAATTATATGTGGAAATTTTCAGGGGGCAAAACCTGCCATAGCAATACTGAACCACTATGAAGGAAAACCTGCTGTTGTTGGTCAGTAACAGTGTGCGTCAAACAGGTGACGTCCTCCGGGAACAAAATTTGTTTTTATGGCCTTGTGATCTGTCAATGGTCAAACTGGTCACCGGTGTCCAAAGAAACCCCGTAAATATAAAATCGACTGCTTCGAAAGTTAACCTCATTAACTGCGTAGTGAAGTGTCCCATGATAAGCGCGCATATGATGTGTTGCTGTTGTAATCCAGCACACGGGTCCTCTTAAAAACGCGGATACCGTGCCAATCGGTCCGAAAAGATGCCCGGCTATGGTGTCCACCTTGACCAAAGCTCAGATTCCGTATTCACCAAGTCGCGTACATCTGTAAGCGTCCATATTTTGGCCTCACAGAGTGGCAACTTGAAATCCGTAATCTCGTAGTACAATATGCGTTACTGTGATTTGAAGCACCAGGTTTTGGCAAAAAGATGACGATAAATTCATCTGAGAAATTAATAACGCTGGCCAGCTTATTTTGCGCCACCCACTCGATAAGCAACGCAGTTTTGGGGTGGTAGTGGATCTCGTTTGGGTGAAATAAGCGACAATCTTCAATGTATCTGGGTGATCAATTTATTTATCCCAGATTAAAGTTTGATAATGAAGCGGTTTTCTTATTTCTCTGATGCTAATCTGATCATCGTGTACTGATGCATTGTGCACATTCCGTAAAATTTGTATTTTCTGGGGCCAAATGCCCAATAAATATCTGCTGAAAGGTATAACACAATATGAGCCAGCACCTAAAATTGTCGCAGACAACACGGTCCTACAAGAATGTTGCCACAGAAGTTCTCGGGTCTTGGAGGTTAAAATGCAGTTTCTTCGTTTTACTTCACCTTCGTTATAGTGTTATTTTGATAAGTGATAAGGTACTGTGCTCATCCATGCACTCTGGGGCATCATGAGCTCAATAGGGACTAAAAAGAGGTAGCCGCGTCTTTCCTGCTGGGGTATAATCTATCATCAGAAAGCCCAACAAACTTTAACTTTTCTTCCTGTTTAAGTTGAGCAATGAAATATTCCCAACGGGGTAGCATTGACGAATTTGAGTCCTGAATGATGATACGCTTCTCCAGCTGCCCACGGTAAAAACCGTAGTTTGCATTTCGCCAAATAATTAAACATAAAGTTGCCTAAGCCGCACGTTGTCCATGCAAGTGAGCCAAGTTTGCTTAGCTAATCTCTCTGGCCGATGTATTTTCCGCAACAATGGGAACGGTATAATTTACTCCAAGTCACACGCTAGTTGTCAATGTTGGCAGGGCTCTTTTTGCTGTTTTGTATAAGTAATGACAGCGTAGGGCAATTTCACTTATGTGGCAGTCGTTCTAATCAAAGTTGCGAAATGTGAATTTCTAGCCACAAATCCTCTCGTAACTCCGTTGTGACGGCCGTGGAATGTTTGTAATTCTTCGCCGTTCATAAGGTACCGACCTGGGTGGCTTGCAAGTGACGACAAGGAGTTTGCCAGTGGTTGAGGCTCAAGGGCATGGGTCATGTGAAATTATGATAAAGTTTTCATGTTCCATCAATTTAATAGCGTATTGCAAGTGCAGCTTATATGTTAGATGTATAAGTTCCTAAAACCTCGTTGAAGATATCAGAAGCTACTCAGAGTTTCTGCAAACCGATCGCTCGGGATAACGCTAATGGGGGAACGAGGGCGCTTTTTCGGATTGGTCCATCGGGGTTTGGAATGCCAGAAAAACTCAAAATACTGGAGTCACTCTTCCCGCATATTTTCCGTAAGTGGGTAAATTGAAGGATGTCCCATGTTTTGCATATTTCTGTGGCCACGAGACTACCTTCAACCTTCGTCCATTTAGAGCGAACCATGTTTTCGGGAACGTCAAAACATATTTTATTATAATTCTTTTCCAAAAAATACGTCTTGGCCTTAAAATGGCTTACTTAAGCAAGTCACTTATGAAAAGTATTGGGAAAATCCATTGAAAATATACACTTTAACAGTGAGGCTATGACTTCGAACCCATCTTACTTTCTGAGAAATATTTTTCAATTTCCCGGAATCCGATTTGTCACGACTATTTGGGTTCTGGATAACACTTGGTACTCAAGATGCCGCTGTCTATTGGGTGGCACAGTAAAACGTATTTAAGCCTGATACCTTGTTTTCTGAACGTGAGTGTGTGACCACTAGACAACAAATGCCTCTCGGCAAACGTTGCGCCAAAAATATCGGGTGATACAAGGAATCAGGAAGCATACATTAACGCCCATGCACTTTGATGTGGTTGTTCGCTGTCAGTGTTCTTTGTTTAGCCTGTGTGCTGTTTTGGTATTCAAAGCAACTAAATCAGACATGGAACACCGACATTTTGGCATCAGCGTTTGTTCTTGACATGTTGTTCAGTGGGCACAAGATTGCTGAAAACTGCTCTATGAGAACAATTCTGCGAAGAACAGTCTCCCAAAACTGTTTGACTTCCGAGCAAACGATGCGCTTAAAATCGTTGCATTGTGTTTGTATATTTCAGCGGAGCTATTTGGTCGAAAAATGTAATCGTCAAGTTCTTCGGTTTTGGAGAACATAGTGGTGCTTCAACCTAAATATGACTCCAAATTCCACGGGCGGTTTTAGCTATACTCGACGTCAGCAATAGCGAAACGCATTCAGCGACGGAGATTTACACATCAAATACCGCGGAGCAAATTAGAGAAATCTACAGATAATAGCGCTTCTTATTTTACCCTTTTGTCACTTATTCTCCAAAGTGTCACCAATCCTGAGAGTATGCATACCCGTCAGCAACCCAGAGAAAACTGACAATCCAAAAGTTTCAAATAACATATTCCTTTGTCTCTTGTATTCTCTTTAGACTCCTGTTGACTGACGAACTGGTAGACTGACTGAGGACAAAGTATTTCTAATGAGGTCCCCCGTTTTTTAAGCGCCTTCCGTTCACCTGGATGGAACGAGGGAAAATAGAATGAATCCCCCTAAGTTCTTGGCCCCAGATAGCAGCTTCCAAACGCGATAACCCAGATCAAAAAGCGTCTGAGGTTCTAGGTGCAGCGTGAACTTCAGTCGGAGGAATGGAATACCAAGCGCCGACCAACCTAGGTTCTAAAAGTGCACTTTCTAATCTCGAAATCCTTACAATTTCTTCGTTGAATGTTGGCGGGGAGAACGGCAAAAGATCCATCGTAAAAACCTCGTTTAGCCAAGAGGTAACGCTGTATCAGTTACCTTTAGGTGTAACGATAGTCTAAGTAAGATATTTCTATTTCAATAATCAATGGATTTCAATTCAGCTTCCAGCGCTACAGACTCACGTAGCACGTAGTTAATGAGATTGACGCTCTCATTGTTTTCTGGGTGAGCGATTCTAATAATGTACTCAACTGAAGGTTTGCAACAGCAACATAGAATAGCTGGTAGTCTACGTGGGTAGTACGGATAGATGTGTGTCGAATCATCCAAAGGACACAAATAACAGATTAGGCCACCTTTTAAGATGGAGCGAATGCGGCATGCTTCGAAGGGGTCAGATACATAACTCACCTCGAAACCAATCTTCATCATTCTCTTCGGTCCATTTTCGTTACGCACGACGAAGATGCCTTTTGAGTCACCAGCGAACGGGATATGGACGGATTTCATTCGTACGAGAACTGATCCAGCCTAGTGACAACTGCTTCGCGGCATTGACAATCATTTGGAGAGCCCCGGAGTAAGAATCTCAAAATTAAAAGTCGTTCATGAGATTAGACATAGGATTCAGTGTTTTTGGCCCCGCATCGTATTAAGTCAAGATTCCGCGCAGTGTGTATCGGGGGAAGACTGATAAGCAATTGATCGGCTAAGCCTCTTTCAACGGGTTGTTTTGACCGTGCCCGCTCCTGTGGGGTTTTTATGCGCACTATACATAGTAGGTCGGATGTTATGGTTAGACGCTAATCCGCACCCCGTGCTTGGCGACAGGATTGCAAACTTCTCATCTCCGATGTAAATAGCGTCTACAGAAAGAGGATCGGCGGTAAATTATTTTTACAACTGCAACCTTGGTTGATGTCTTCCATTGTCAAGCTTGTGTTTATGTATTGGCTAACCAAATTTTCTCCCAAACTGGCCGGGATATTTGTCGCAGTTGGTACACTGTGGGTTATGGAATACCCGGTAAATTCACCACTGGCATTGTCACCTGGGTTGGTAGTAAAACGCTTCCAGTAGAACTGCTAATCTGGTCAAACAAAACAACAACCAATCCAATTTCGTCGTCGCGCAAATTTGACAAGCGCCTATGTTAAACTTATAACTGACCCGATGTGTTGGAACTCCGTCCAAGAGGCCTGGCCATTAAGAGATGTTTGGCGACAGCTGCAGCAGGTCGTCTTTGGGCGCGCATGAACAGGAGACGATATGCGCAAACTTGAAGCACCCATTTCCGTCCATCGGGACTTGGCTCCAAAGTACAACACAGAAGCGTGCAGGGGTGTTAACGCAGAGGATACTTATGGTAAGTGGGTTCGTATTTCGGTGGAAACAACTTGAGCGAACCTTCTGCATTTAGAGTTAGCCAAGAGAATTTATTAAAGTCTCATCAAAATCTTAGCATCAAGGTAAGCTTGGTTTCTGTATGTCCAAATACCGATGGCCGTTCAAGGCAAACCGCTTGTTAAATATCGTAAAAGTTACTGATGAGACTGAGGTGGTTCATGGATAGTCGTGCTAAAACCACTTGTGCAGCAAACAAAAAAACGGACAGAGACGCGCTGTGCCAACACGAGGCGTAATGGATTTAGTATTTGTGCGCCCGAGTAGCTGACAACTCTTTAAAAAATAACAAATGAAATTGCCTGCTTTCTTGTAAGAAAGTCAAATGTCTCAAGTACAAATGTGGATGGATTTTGCTCCCATCACCCCATCCGTGATCAGCATGTTCGACTAAAAATGTTCCAGTATTTGGCATCTTCGGTTTAGCGGATGACTCTCAGATGACCCCCTTGGGTTTACCCGTCTGGCTGTCTCCCAATGCTACTTATTGGATGCCCAAATTTTGAAAATTTACTAAACGGCACCAACATACACAATCTAATGGCAGAACGACAAATGTTTCTCAAATAACTTTGAATGCTCCTCTCTCCCTATCAACCTTTACATGCAGATGCGACTAAACTGATAACCTGGCCGAAACCGCCAGTTGAAAGTATTTGTTTGGTTCGACTTAGCTGTCTTTTAAGGTTTAACTGTGCCGATTTCCGCCGCAATTTAATTTTACTCCATCCTGAAATTGAACGATATTTTACGATATCCCTTCGTTTTTCCGCAGTAATGTTAGCTCACCAGATTTTCGGTGGAAACAACTTGAGCGAACCTTCTGCATTTAGAGTTAGCCAAGAGAATTTATTAAAGTCTCATCAAAATCTTAGCATCAAGGTAAGCTTGGTTTCTGTATGTCCAAATACCGATGGCCGTTCAAGGCAAACCGCTTGTTAAATATCGTAAAAGTTACTGATGAGACTGAGGTGGTTCATGGATAGTCGTGCTAAAACCACTTGTGCAGCACACAAAAAAACGGACAGAGACGCGCTGTGCCAACACGAGGCGTAATGGATTTAGTATTTGTGCGCCCGAGTAGCTGACAACTCTTTAAAAAATAACAAATGAAATTGCCTGCTTTCTTGTAAGAAAGTCAAATGTCTCAAGTACAAATGTGGATGGATTTTGCTCCCATCACCCCATCCGTGATCAGCATGTTCGACTAAAAATGTTCCAGTATTTGGCATCTTCGGTTTAGCGGATGACTTTCAGATGACCCCCTTGGGCTTACCCGTCTGGCTGTCTCCCAGTGCTACTTATTGGATGCCCAAATTTTGAAAATTTACTAAACGGCACCAACATACACAATCTAATGGCAGAACGACAAATGTTTCTCAAATAACTTTGAATGCTCCTCTCTCCCTATCAACCTTCACATGCAGATGCGACTAAACTGATAACCTGGCCGAAACCGCCAGTTGAAAGTATTTGTTTGGTTCGACTTAGCTGTCTTTTAAGGTTTAACTGTGCCGATTTCCGCCGCAATTTAATTTTACTCCATCCTGAAATTGAACGATATTTTACGATATCCCTTCGTTTTTCCGCAGTAATGTTAGCTCATCATCTCACTCGAAAAGCGACACTGAAGAATCTATAAGTTATCTGCCTACAGCACCGCCCTGCGATGCAAGCTGCAGTTTAATGCCACTGTGAGTTAATCCACTTCATCTACTTCACGGTTTTTTCACCTTGGCAATAAAATCACCTGCACAAGTTCACCAAGACTCGGCAACAAATCTCAGCTACAGTTTAATTCGGTCGACTCGATCATTGAAAGGCTCCTTCGTTTCAACAAATATTTCTTGCCGCATACCAAACATGTCCTCTACGTTTCGTATTCCCCTCCGTTCTTGTTTGCCACGCGCTAATTGTAACGTTTCAAACGTATATCGGTTGTCTCTTTTCCCGCGATCAGAGAGCTGAGACAATTATTATTCTACTTCGCAATCCAGCCAGGCGGTCGTCGACTGCGGAACACATAAATAATCAATTTTTACCCTTCAGATTGACCTGTTATGCTCCCGCAGCGGCAATATGCGCACAACAGTTATGCTGCAGCTCCAAACAATTCCTACGCACAAGGCACCCGATTAAACAAAAGCAGATAAACGTTAGGGAACAGACCATGTACCAAGTAAGCCGGGAGTATTGATGCTTGATTGGACTGACTCAGATCCATGGCCGAAAACGGTTTTTCAATAGGGCGGAAAAATCTGTAAATTCGAGCAGACTTGTCCGTAATAAGGCTATTGCATTTCCGTTGGGTGGTTCGTTCCTTGTCGATAATTTGTTGGAGGTGGAGCTTTTATCATTTGCATCAGACTGGCGCCATCTTAATCCACTGAACTGCACCAATAACCACAGCTTCTTCGAAAATATATTTAAGTTGAAAATCCCCACGCATGAAGTGTTGAGAACCTGGCCCGGAAATCACGGTTTAGTAACCAGATACGCTCAAGATGCAAACTTAGTTGACTCAATAGAGAATGACATCAGGCACTTATAAAGATATTGTTCCGGTTGAGCGCGAACGCAAATCTGAGGGACTAGAGCAAATTCAAAGTTTCCGTCAAGGTGCAGGTGAATACAAAGTCAGATGTGGACAAGCTAGCATTGCAACGTCTGAAATTACCTGTACGTTTTATGGACTATGCAGGGTAATGCATGAGATATGATAGTCTCTACCGCGTTTCAGCCGCAAGGACTGGTGACCAAATAAACAACGGGATGTATCTAGCCTATGTGGATCCCATCCGGAATTGTTAGATGTTCGGAGGATGCGGGAACGCGGAACATCGTGCGCCACGGTCCTCAGCTAAGGGAACGCCAGGGCAGTACCATGACGTGCTAGTTGTCCTATTCACCTGGCCACCAGGCAAACAGAATGGCGACGTTCGGGACATCCAATCTTGAAAACATCGCATAAAAGGAGCAGGAGGACGAGAAAGCTGAGGTTGCAGGAAACTGGCATCGGTATGTATTAAAAGCATACACAGAAATGCGTCCAATAGCAATGCGCGCAGTCACCGACCGCCAATAAAAACGAACTCTGCGCCCTCGGTGGACTTCGAGTTCATCTAAACAACCGCTAATAAAACTGCGGCCGCGTAGGAAGATCTTAAGGGTCCGAATAGTTACTATCATATACTAAAATTTTATGGTAAAGTTTCTCTTTGTCGAACCACGGTTTCATGGAAATTTAGGGTGCGTTCCTAGGACCGGCTGCTTGATATTCCGTCCAAAGAACTCAAAGTAGCTGTGGGCGTGCCAGTTCAGTAGTGACCACCTTCGTATCGGATAAAGCCTA